CAATAGCTCTAACTTCAAAAGGGCAGAGGCAGAGAGGTTAGTGAGGGAGATAACACAAGCTAATCTCTCCTCGCCTGCCTGGTACAGAGATATCCCTTATCTTAACGCCTGTATAGCTGAGTCTATGAGGCTGTTTCCTCCTGGGCCCGTCTCACACCGCACCAACACGGCCCCTACTACAGTGGGCCAGTACCTCATTCCTAGGGGAGCTCAGATACAGGCGTGTGTTTACGTGCAGCACAGGCTACCACGCTACTGGGACAATCCTAACAGCTTCATTCCTGACAGGTGGCTCAGGATGACGTCACCAAACCACGTGACGTCACCAAACCACGTGACATCACCAAACCACATGACATCCCCCAACCACGTGACGTCTCCAAACCACGTGACATCACCGTGGCCGGCCACTGGGAGCTACATCCCGTTTATGGTTGGCCCCAGGAACTGTTTGGGTAAAAATCTAGCTGATGTGCTGCTGAAAGTGGTGCTATGTGAACTGTTTAGTAAATTAACATTTAGTCAAGTTACCGAGGAGCGTGTACAAGCACAACACTGCTTTACTCTAAACCCTAAAAACAAGGTATTAGCTAGAGTCACTGAGGGAGTCACTGAGAGAGTCACTGAGGGAGTCACTGAGGGAGTCACTGATGGAGTCACTGAGGGAGTCACTGAGGGATTCACTGAGAGAGTAACTGAGAGATTCACTGAGGGGGTCACTGAGGGAGTCACTGAGAGAGTCACTGAGAGAGTCACTGAGAGAGTCACTGAGAGTCACTGAGGGAGTCACTGAGAGATTCACTGAGGGAGTCACTGAGGGAGACACTGAGAGAATTACTGAGGGAGTCACTAAGAGAGTCACTGAGAGTCACTGAGGGAGTCACTGAGAGATTCACTGAGGGAGTCACTGAGGGAGACACTGAGAGATTCACTGAGGGAGTCACTGAGGGAGTCACTGAGGGAGTCACTGAGGGAGTCACCGAGAGAGTCACTGAGAGAGTCACTAAGAGAACTGGGTGAGAATGGAATGTTTTGCTATTCTTTAGATACTTTTGATGTAGATATACTCTTTTGTTTTTTTATTTATTGGAGATCAATGAACTTCACAACAACAAATTTACATAATTGTAGTGGAAAATAAGAGTCTAACAGAAACAATAATAATATGTTTCGCAGTTCTGTGAAAAACGACAAAATAAGAGTCGTGTTTCGATGGGCAGAATGGGCATAATTTTCAAAAAATAACTATTTTCCCATACCATACCCCCCCCCCCCCCCCCCTTCTCTGATATATGTTTTAATTAAAAGTTTGCTCGAAGCAACACTAAATGGCCAATATCAATGTAATTATATCGTCAGAGTCCGACTAGCAGAATAAAGTACAGAAGCAAACAACTGTGTAGACAAATGATAACAAATAAACATTGAAGCAACATACTGCAACATAAACAATAATAATTATACAGCTGCATAAATGCATATATTATGCTAACATCTTACTAGTTACTATATATAAAGCGAGACGATATATATGGTTCCGTGCCATTTTACTGACACCACGGCATCAACTTTAACGGGACTTTCCTCAAAAACCGTAAAAGATATACAACTGAAACTTTTTTGACTGGGTCAAATGCTTTAATGGCCTTCAAATCAGTATGAAAAAATTGGCCAAGGAATAAGAATTTTAGTGCCCAAAATGTGGACCCCCAAGTGGTGTCAAAAACGCGAATTAAATAGGTAATAATTATTTTAGTCTCTTGAGTCTTGACACCACTTTATAGTAAGACGGGTTCCTGCTAGTCTTCCTAATGCACGTGTCAAAACGAGAGCTCGGATAGAACGCAAGAAACCGAGTGGATTGGAAAATAAACTTAGTTTTTGCAACTCAATCATATTATATAGGGTAATTTGATTTAGTAGTCGTAATAAAAATAATTTCTGATGCGGATATATAATAGTGAATATGTTATATTTCTCTCAATAAAACCTAAACAATATCATATATTATATTACATTGTAACTATCCCGTTACGGTGGCCAATACGTTATCCTCTTACACAGGGTACCCAGCTAGCAGGGGAGAAAGCAGAGTGCCAATACGTTATCCTCTTACACAGGGTACCCAGCTAGCAGGGGAGAAAGCAGAGTGGCCAATACGTTATCCTCTTACACAGGGTACCCAGCTAGCAGGGGAGAAAGCAGAGTAGCCAATACGTTATCCTCTTACACAGGGTACCCAGCTAGCAGGGGAGAAAGCAGAGTGGCCAATACGTTATCCTCTTACACAGGGTACCCAGCTAGCAGGGGAGAAAGCAGAGTGCCAATACGTTATCCTCTTACACAGGGTACCCAGCTAGAGGGGAGAAAGCAGAGTGGCCAATACGTTATCCTCTTACACAGGGTACCCAGCTAGCAGGGGAGAAAGCAGAGTGGCCAATACGTTATCCTCTTACACAGGGTACCCAGCTAGCAGGGGAGAAAGCAGAGTGGCCAATACGTTATCCTCTTACACAGGGTACCCAGCTAGCAGGGGAGAAAGCAGAGTGGTGAATCAAATAGTAAACATCTAACAATACTGGGTAGAATGGATTTAGAGCGGTGAATATAGTATAATAGTATACATACTATAAACAATAGACTACTAAAATACCACAATACTTGGAATTTAGTGGAATGTGCCATCTAAATGTACCCTGGTTCATTACTTGTTATTTTCATTAATTTGCATTAATTGTACTTTACTAAACATTTATTAAATACTATTAAGCTAACATGACACGTGCTCTTAACAGGCAGGCTTCAGTTATTCTGGTTTTTTCAAAACTAAATAATAATAATCAGAGCAGGTTAAAAGAAAAGCCTGTATAATATAAAAAATAACCGATAATGTAAACAGCAATACTGCAGCAGCATAGTGTAGACAGTAGCGATACAACTTACAAACACACATAGAACAGCTGATACCAGCTGATACCAGGTGTTATGCGGAGTATTACACAGGAACCAAGGGAGTTGGAATATAACCATACATGTCAGGTAATAGTGGCTTAATTAGCAAGTGCTAGTTGTATTCTTAGTGGCTCAGTTAGCAAGTGCTAGTTGTATTCTTAGTGACTCAGTTAGCAAGTGCTAATTGGTATTGTTAGTGGCTCAGTTAGCAAGTGCTAATTGGTATTGCTAGTGGCTCAGTTAGCAAGTGCTAGTTGGTATTCTTAGTGACTCAGTTAGCAAGTGCTAGTTGGTATTCTTAGTGATTCAGTTAGCAAGTGCTAGTTGGTATTGTTAGTGGCTCAGTTAGCAAGTGCTAGTTGTATTCTTAGTGGCTCAGTTAGCAAGTGCTAGTTGGTATTGTAAGTGGCTCAGTTAGCAAGTGCTAGTTGGTATTCTTAGTGACTCAGTTAGCAAGTGCTAATTGGTATTGTTAGTGGCTCAGTTAGCAAGTGCTAATTGGTATTGTTAGTGGCTCAGTTAGCAAGTGCTAATTGGTATTGCTAGTGGCTCAGTTAGCAAGTGCTAGTTGGTATTCTTAGTGGCTCAGTTAGCAAGTGCTAGTTGTATTCTTAGTGACTCAGTTAGCAAGTGCTAGTTGTATTCTTAGTGACTCAGTTAGCAAGTGCTAGTTGTATTCTTAGTGGCTCAGTTAGCAAGTGCTGGTTGTATTCTTAGTGACTCAGTTAGCAAGTGCTAGTTGGTATTGCTAGTGGCTCAGTTAGCAAGTGCTAGTTGTATTCTTAGTGGCTCAGTTAGCAAGTGCTAATTGGTATTGCTAGTGGCTCAGTTAGCAAGTGCTAGTTGTATTCTTAGTGGCTCAGTTAGTAAGTGCTAGTTGGTATTGTTAGTGACTTAGTTAGCAAGTGCTAGTTGGTATTGTTAGTGACTCAGTTAGCAAGTGCTAGTTGTATTCTTAGTGGCTCAGTTAGTAAGTGCTAGTTGGTATTGTTAGTGACTTAGTTAGCAAGTGCTAGTTGGTATTGTTAGTGACTCAGTTAGCAAGTGCTAGTTGTATTCTTAGTGACTCAGTAAGCAAGTGCTAGTTGGTATTGCTAATACTATACTTACTATACTGATGTTTAGTAAGTATAGTATAGTACTATGTAAGTAATCAGGTTCACATAATCCCCATAATTTATTTGATAAATATTTGATTAGAATAAAACTTACCTTCTGCAGTATACGTAGATTTCATATAATTGAAGCAACATTCCATTTAAATCGAAACTAGCTACTTATCTAAAACAACTACTACTAGTAATAGTAACGTACAGATCTCTAAACAAAACATAACACTAACTGAGAAACCATAATCAGTAGTAACAATGCTAAGAGTCGACCACCAAGTAGTTTTATTATAATATCACATAAGTTAGAGGGGAGTTTGCTAGGATACCAGTCCAAACATTCAGGTATTTCCTAGGTTTACCCCACCAATAGATCATAGAATACATTCCTAATCCTTACATCTCTACACATCTCTCTCTCTCTCTCTAAAGAATAGAATAGCTTAACTTAGATTTCAGTTTCCAATTGAAAGTTAGAAAAGTGGTACTCACCCTTAGTGACACGGTTAGATTTCGTTTCTTTCGTTAACTGAAATACGAAAATGTGAATGATAAATAGTTGCTGTTGAACCATTGTAAACTCCTGCTAAAGTAATACTGCAAAGAGTATGAACCTGATATATGAGTAATTTTAATACAGAGTCCTCTCCAGCTGTAATTATCCTGTTTACTGTGACTGGCTAGTTAGAATCAAAGTAACAAATTTAATTAACGGAATATAACACCCCTCATTATGTACTACAAAATTCCCCCAAACTCCGCAGGTTTTACTAGTGACTGGTGGTACCGAACTGGTACTGAGTATGTGGTACTGTTGTTTAACTTACTCCTGGGTGTACTGTTATAGAACAGAAGAATAAACATTATACATATAAGATTATATGAGGGCTGGAGTAGAGTTGCCCTCTCCACTACTGTTTTACCACTAGTAGTAGTACTATTACCTATATTATACACACGGTACAGTACGAGTAACACTGTTTCAATTAAGATAATCACACATGGACTATGGAGGATGTTATAACTAGTTTCACTGCGTCCTAATATAATATACCTTAAATAGTTTCTTCTTTTCTTTATTCTTCCTAACATTGCTCACAGGAGAATCGTCTTTACTTAGCGGGCTAGAAGCTACACGGCTACCCTCCTCTACAATGATCTGATCTTGTATCTTATCCTTCTTTCTCTCTTTCTTCCTCTCATTGTCTTTAGAATCAGTAGTATTGTCTTTAACCAGTTCCGTGATTTCACTACTTCGCTGCTTTTTCACTTCTTTGTTCTTTTTTATTCCAAACTTCATGACAATTTATACATTTTGTTGAACTGAAGTAGCCCTCCTAGAAGTGTAGTAGTGTAGTGTAACACTGTATTACTATTGTTACTAACTCAGAACGACAGTACTAATCTGATTTATTTAACAACTCCACCAGTTCCTCCTTAAGTGGGGTGCTCTGTGGGGTGCAGTTAACAATGGAGACCACCTCCCGACCTCCGACAACTACTCTAATTGAGTGTTTTATACACACTAGTAGTGAAGACTCCAGGTATACACTAAACAGGGTAATAATCAGTCTGAAATCCTGATATGTAGCGTAGTACTACCTTCACACTCCTAGTTGTGTGATATCTCCAAACAAGCTGTAACTGATGAAACACACAGAAAGAAGACAGAAAGATAAACACGAATCTCACAACTCATGAGAGTAATGATATAAATAGCCGGGCAGTGTGCACTATATAACGTTATACACTGTACACTGTGGGTAGTGCGTGATTATGTAGATAGCAGGGGGACCAGTGCCCCTTTATAATTACCTTTGTTAATATTAATGAGATAGGACGATTTATTGTAAAGAGATTAAAAGAATATTGCAAGATTTTAGGTAAAATACTGTACAAATTCCCATATGTAGAGCTTGTTGAAGTGCCCAGAATTCAGATTGAAGGATAGTTTGAGTGCAGTATGATGTGTAATGTGTAAGCCTGGCGCTCTAATCATTAACTAACTATTGTAAGGTAGCACTGAGCATTTAGTGTCTGTTTAGTAGTGCTATTTCATTGTTAAACTAGGATACAGGACCATGGTGCTCAGAGCAGAGGCCTTTAGGGGCCTTTGGGGGCCTGTAGTGGCCTTTAGTGGCTTGTAGGGGCCTTTAGGGGCCTGTAGGGGCCTGTAGGGGCCTTTGGGTCCTTTAGCGGGGCATATAGGGGCCTTTAGGGGCCTCTAGTGGCCTTTAGCGGGGCATCTAGGTGCCTTTAGGGGCCTGTAGTGGCCTTGAGGGGCCTTCAAGGTCCTTTAGCGGGGCATGTAGGGGGGGGGGGGCTCTAGGGGCATAGGTAATAAGTGACACATTAACATATTAAGCTGACATCTTTTTAACCTGGCTTTTTTTTGCGAGAGATTATTACCGCTGAATTTTAAAAAGGTTTTTCCAACATCAGATTGAGTTATTATTAATTCTCTGAGGGTTTCTCCGTATGCTTCCTGTGACGGACATGTCATATTGTGTTCGGAGCAAAATGGCAAGGTGTCCACCCAAATGACAATCACCTAGAGACCGCAAGGGCGTCTCTGACGATTTTGCCCCTCCGCCCGGGCGGAGGGGCAAAATCGTCAGAGACGGAGATTTTTTGAGATATGGTGGCTGGTGCCCTAAAACCCTTGTAAAATATCCTCCTTGAGGCCGAAGAGGCGTCACGGATGATCATTGGAAGGCCGAAAATTTGGGGCAAAATGATCAATTTTATTGCTCTCTGGGACTTCCAAACAGGTTAAATTAACCTCTTTCAAGTTAAATTTCCTTCAGGTTAATCTTTTCACTTGAACTTTTTCAAAATTTAACCTGGCTTTGAATTTTAACCTTAAGAGAGGGGCTGAGAAGATACTTCTTTACAGTGGCCTGTACTCTGTAGGGGCCTGTAGTGGCCTGTAGGGTTCTGTAGGGTTCTGTAGGGTTCTGTAGGGGCCTGTAGGGGCCTGTAGTGGCCTGTAGGGGCCTGTTGGGGCCTGTAGTGGCCTATAGTGGCCTTTAATTGAGCAGATAACAGGTGGACACGTGAAAGCTGTTAGACTGATATTAGAATCTGGCAGCGTGTAAGGCTAATATACGTATACTACTGCAATACAACAGGTGGTTAACAAAGTTGTAGTGTAAGGAGTAAGGACACTGAACTTAGGCTCTGCAGTAAACTACAACATCAAGTCTTGTGGGTACGAGTACTGGTAACGTAGGTAATGTAGGTGATGTAGGTGATGTAGTATTGTGTACGTGATAAACCAACCTTCTTATGTGGATTTCCTTTGCCAAAACAACCAAGAGTCGAAGAAAACTTCATTGTTGAACAAGGTAACCAGTTGAACAAAATGCAGAGCGAAACGTACGACTAATCTAGCATCTCAATAATAAATAATCACAAATATGATAATCTAATACAGAAAAAGTAGGAACTAATACAGAATAACTAGGAACTAGAGGATCGTATTAGGGTAGGGTAGGGTGTGATACCATGACAACGAGCAATGATCCGTCTGGGAAGGGTAATGTTTCACATTCCACTCATTCTTAGAAACACAGAAACAATGATACATCTTAACTGATACTAACGTGACAGTTACTAGTAACTTAGCAAGGAAACAGTAATCAAGTTTAATTAAAAGTAATTTAATCTAGTTACGATATCAAATAACAGTGATGATTCGATTTAAATAAAATTAAGAATAGCAGAGAAGATACTAAGTTTGAAGTATTTTTATCAACAGAGCATTCTTACTAACGTGCTGTACTAGTGTGCACGAGTGTTATTTATTATGTTTTATTTAATTTGTTTTGCATGTTAGATGGCTATTTGTTACTCTCAAAACAAAGTCTCTTCAATCTGTATAACAAAATGAATGTAATAGTGTATACTACTAGTGTAGACTTGCTAGACACAGGATGGTATCTACTTATAATCTGAAGATAACAATATTGGGCAGCGTGGTCATTAGGCTTTATTTTGTAATACTTAATTAAGAAGGTGTAATCGGTTTTGTTTTCAAGTTCTTAATAAATCTTCAGTTTTCTAAATCCTTTTGGTCCTTTTTATCAACTTTGACCTATCTCGGCCTCTTTATTCACCAGTTGACGGTTCAGGGGCATGCGCAGGGAGGAGGCGATGCAGTTTGGTCCGTACTTACATCCAATTCCCTTTTCTCAGGGTTAATTTATATATGGCGTTTTCCTCTTATTCTTTATTTAATTTTGTATCGGATAAAAAGTAAAATATTAAGGATAAAATTCAGCGAGGAAACGTCAACAAAATATAATCTATCAATATAATGAGCCAGACATAACAAAAGCTGAGCAAATATGCGAAACAAAGAAAATGCAGAAGTTTGTCATACAGGCCATCATCGCGCATTTAGGAAATTTAGCGCGCCTAATGAATCAAATATTTAAGAAAACTTTGACTAATTCAAATCTCATGTTACAGTATAACCGATCAGTAGTACGGGCAATGATCTATCATAGGAATCGGGTTAGTAGTAGTAGTAGTAGTAAACCCGTGATGTGGTGGCATGTGCCTCAATAGGATATTAAAAACATTTATTATATCAATTTTATCATATTATAATTCGACGATATTAAAAAATTATGGTAAAAATGAAAATAATGTACACTAAAGAATTAATAACCTATTATATTATATTAATCAACAATGTCATCTCTCCACTTAACTCGTTTATTTCGTTTAATACGTTCCGTTAATTGGCACTATTATTTTACGTCCGTCACGTTTTTAGCTAATACAGAGTTTGATTTAAAGCATGCGTTTGCACTTTTGAACCGGTCAACTTAGCTCATAAAAACAGTGCACAGAACAAATAATGTTCTAATATTTTCAACATATTTATATAGTATTCATATATAGTATCATATACTACTATATATAAATGCTAGTACTAATAATTTAAGGTATGTGGCTGATGTTTTAACAACATCTCCAGACTCCAAGTAGCACTGTCTGTGCTAATAAAACTACAAGTAAATATGTTACAAACCTGTATTTGAAAGATGTTGTTGCGGATAACTAGTGCTGTACAGACACAGCAGACTAACACAGAACAGCAGCCCACACCGGAGTAGAGACCTTCCATACCCTTACTTAGTAGTACCCTCTCTAGATAGTTTATATATCAGCGACAAGAGAAACGCTGGACGTGACTATATCAGCTGTTGTAGTATCTCTCTCTCTGGTTACTGATAACACTGTTACTGATAAGGATAACACTATTACTGATAGTGTCTGTGTTTCACAGAGGTGCAGGTATTGTACAACTAGGTGCAGGTCTCTACTACTGCACAGCTCTCTAGACACTGTGTTTTTGTGGGATCATTGTTTACACAGGTACAAGGATCTACTACAAATACTCAGATCTCTATTTGACAGTAATATACATAATATACACAGATCACACACAGATATATATTAACAAGTAAATGACAATTATTTTAATATTGTCCGGAGAAAGTTGAAATAAACGAAACTGAATTTCACACTACACTATATACTACTAGATCTAATTGATACAAAAAGCGGTCCACTCAATCGGATCAATGTGAAAAGTAACACAAGAAATTGCCGTTCTTGCTAAAATTTAGATCAAACAAAAGCATTCAAAAGGATCAAAGAACGGAACGATTTGTTATTTTTTTGTCCGAGCTAACAATTATTTTGTTGTCCGAGCTAACAACTAGCCAGCAACTCAGGACGACATTAAATGAGAATCGGATCTAGTACTTAGTAACGTGTGTGCCAAGATTAGTTTCTATATTACTTCAGTAAAGTGATTAACATAATAGGAGGATTGACGTATTAACTACAACGTTTAAAGCATATTTGATATGGTGATGTCACTGGTACTTCCCAACACAACTTCAGGAAAAGGAAAACAAGAGGAATTATAGAGCTCTAGAGCGGGGTGAGTTATTTAGATTAATAGAGGGTAACTAGGTTAAAGTGGCAGATAGGGGCCCTCTGTACCCTCAGTAACATGTCTCTACAAGGATCTCATTCTACAGGGGTTATACGAGCATGATAAAATAGTACTACTACCTACTGTGGAAATTAATAAATATTTCTGCAACAATCCTGCAAAATTCTATCCGCAAGGCATGTTAAAAGGATTTCTATCACAATTTGTATATACGGTTATTAAGTTGCACTCTGTTGTACACCCCCCCCCCCCCCCCCCCCCCCCTCCCGCCCCCAATATTCAAGACACTACAATAATTGGACACTAAGATAATTGGATATATTCAATAACAATATAGCATTACTTTACTCACCACTTCCCACACGGTTCCGAAGAGTGCCTGACTGAAAAGTCGCCGTTTTAGAAACTCCTTCGCTTCTTCGTCCACCTGATAATAACACAGGTAACAAGGTCTTCTTCATATTAACTGCAGGGCACATTTTACAAAACTATTTATTTCAGATCCAGCAGCTCTTGAAAGAGATGTACAATTTGTTTTGTATTGATCTGAAACTAATTAGAATTATAATAATAACTAGTATTATAGAGATTACAATTATTTGCAACAAATTAATCTCTCTCAGCAACTTAATTAGACAGATAGAGAATTAAACCACTTTATTACGTAATCACCCACTGTAATAATCTTATTTGCGCTCATCAAGTAATATGATGAATGATCATGAACAACGTTTGTAATTCAGACAGACAAGTCACTAGTGCAAACTGAAACCTAATACACCAACAAGTAATGACCTACTGTGTCTGCAATAGTGTTCTGTAATGATAATAGCGTGAAATAAAGCACTTTATTGAGCATTTGTTTGTAGAATAGTTAGAGCGTGAAGCGTGACTTGAAAATCATTACCGTTAAATACAGTACAGTACAGTACAGTACAGTACAGTACAGTACAGTACAGTACAGTACAGTACAGTACAGTACAGTACAGTACAGTACAGTACAGTACAGTACAGTACAGTACAGTACAGTACAGTACAGTACAGTACAGTACAAAAAGTAAGTCATATTTCTTAAGTTCTGTGCATTACTGATACTTGGGTTGATTATCAATTACCATATAAAATAATAGGACCCCTCAAAACATAAGAACAATACCTTTACAGAAGAGCTGATAAACATAAGTTTGTTTTGTGTGAAATTTTTTTAACATTTTTGCACATTTGTAAAGCTGTAGCACTAGATAGATATGAGATGTGTGATATTACACTACAAGATTCTGGCGAACTACAAAACGTTAATATAATGCAGCAAACAACTGAGAATATACACTATAATACTACAGTTTACCTGAGGGGAAATGACAATAGAGGACACAGCGGCTTTACACATCGAGAAGAGGGTAGGGGGATTAAACACCTTCTTTAGTTTCTTAGGTCCTCCCCGACCTGGTAGTGGTCTGAGGAAATGTTAGCATCAATTACAGTAACTAGCAGGAACCCGTATAATATAACCCTAAATGGTGTCTTTTTTTTAATTTTTAAACATTTAAAATATAATTTGGAACATTACAGTAACGTTATTTCAAAGCTTTGTGTTTTGATCATATGATTATGGGTGTATAGTGATTTTGATTGCATAAATTTGATTGGGCAGTGATGGTGAGTGAGAAGATGATGGGAGTGCCAGCCAGTAACTCTGTCAAATGAACAGCCCACTGAGGACTGAGGAGTGGGTGAGCGATAGCGCGAGAACGGCAGAGAGGGTGGCATAAAACGGAATACACGGCCACAGAAAAGACACAGAAACTAAACTGTGCGCTGTAAGTTAGCCAGTGTCTGAGAGCTAGTGTTGCCTGGCAGGAGGCATCCAAAAGAGGTGCCGTGGTGAACTGTGGAGGCAAAGTTCGAATGCAAGGCGAAGCACGGAAGCAACTCAAACTGATGATGAAGAGGTAGACTGAACGGGAAGTAAAGAAAAAGGAAAAGGAAGGATCCAGCTGAGGTCTGGCTCATGTCAGGAAGTGATGAAAAGCTCACAGACAAAATCATCCGTGGCTGTCTACCCCGTACGTAGGCAGTGTCAAGACTCGAGAGACTAAAATAATTATTACCTATTTAATTCGCGTTTTTGACACCACTTGGGGGTCCACTTGGGGCTCTAAAATCACTATTCCTTGGCCAATTTTTATTTTTTCATGCTGATTTGGAGGCCATTAAAGCATTTGATCCAGTCAAAAAAGTTTCAGTTGTATATCTTTTGCGGTTTTTGCGGAAAGTTGCGTTAAAGTTGATGCCGTGGTGTCAGTAAAATGGCACAGATATATATCGTCTCGCTTTATATATAGTAATATAGTATCAATTACAGTCATTAATATCGATTACAGTCATTACTCATTAGTATCTGTTACAGTAATTAGCAAACATATTTTAGTATTTGGGATTGATTTATTTTGAATAATTGAAGATGATTTGAAGGGTGTTATAATTAAAAGAATAAAGTGAACTAGTTACTTGACAGGAGATGCCTTTCCCAGAGGGGGGCTCACACAGGGCACCTTCCAATTGGGATTCACTGCTTTGGGATCGTTTGAGGACCGAGGACTTTTTGCTGCTTTGAGATTAGGAGGGCTTTTTGCACTGTTCAAATTCTTTGTGCTGATTAAAGGAAAATGGTCAAGGATTGAGACAGAAAGGAATAAACAAGTTTGTCTCAGAAGATTGAAAACATAATATTATTGTGTGCAAATAGAAACATAAACTCACTTGGCACGAGTAGGCGGAGTAGCACTCCCAGTTTTGACTCTAGGAAGCTTTGAGTTGGCATTGCTGCTCGCTTTTGTTTGCTTTACAGGAGATGTTTTTATTGCTGATTTGGTGGAAGACTTGGTTGTTGGTTTTGGTTTCGTTATTCCAGTCTTTACATTATCAGATTTGGTCTTTTTAGGGATTATCTGATAGCATTTTTGGATTTAAAACATGGTTAAAATAGACAATTGGGAAAAAAACAGATTAAAATACTTTTGACAATAATTATTATGTCTGTGCTGTGATCTATTAAATAACCTACATGGTCCTTCAGCATGATTGTTTGTTACATTTATCATTTTATCATGTCTTATACAGGAATTCCCATGTACTGGCTATTATCATTGTCAATTAAATTACCTTGTCAGTTTAAATATCACATTTTTTAAATGAATTTTATGCCAAAACCTGTTGTCGATTCTTCACTGTGGAAGATTTGTTCTCATTTGCCCCCATAATGTCGTTTGGAGACACAGACCTAAAACAAATGTTCTATTTAAACTACAATTTGAATTCATTTATTGCATAGTTAAGATTGTTACAAATTAATTTAGTATGCAAAGTATTTTGGTAATGATTGAGTAAACCCATACCTGTCAGAGGCAGATTCTAAAGACCCACTCTTCTTCACAGATTTCTTGATATTGGTCTGCTTATACATCCAGACTTGTTTTGCTAAATTGTATTGAATTTATAAAATCAGTACAATTATCATTAACAATTCATTTAAACGCCATTATATTGATTGCTGCCAGTGGCGTAACGTTGCCTGTTGACGCCCCCTGCCGAAAAAAGATGGCGCCCCCCACAGCGAGGTCAGCGGCAATGGCGTAACGTTACTTTGTGCTGCCCCCCTGCTGATTGAAATTTGCCGCCCCTTTTCCGCCCCTAAATTTTTGTGTCCCTAAAAAAAAGAAAAAAAAAAAAAAAAAAAGGTCAGGTACTTTTTTGCCGCCCCCTACACCTTTTTGCCGCCCCCTGAAGCAACAATGGTACCCCAAATATTTTTTTCACGTCGACCGAACGCTAAATTCGACAGGGTAGTACACCAATAAGGCGCTTTTTCCATGAAATCAGACCTACAATCCAGGAAAATGCCGCCCCCCTAAGGTGCCGCCCCCCTGCTAGCAGGGTTAGCAGGGGCGGTTGTTACGCCACTGGTCAGCGGGGCCCTTCGTTACGCCACTGCAACTGATTGCTGCCATTAATGATTAGGATGGATCTTGAATGAAAGCTTACATAAGCATAACATTACCGTACTCGCCCGATATATGTATAATGCCCTTCTTCTTCGCCCAAAAAGACAGTACAAATGTAAAACTTCAATCCATCACAATTCACAATGTGGTATAACTGACCACTGAAGACATGTGTACTGAGAGTTTGAGGTAGTCAGGAGTGTACTCTCTGAAAACTTTTTCTGTCTTTAACCTTAATGAAATAATTCAGAGTGTCTCATAAAAAAAGGCGACCAATTAACCTCCAATAGCTTGCCTCAAATTTAACTCAACTTCTTAAAACATTGATAGCCATGTTATAAAGCAATGAAAGGCATTAGTTTGGTCAAATCAAACGGAACATATGCTATCAGACTTTCAACTGACTATGGCAGGGTTAAAACAGTTTTAACGCTAGCAACGATCCCCTTTTACATAGTTCCACTCAATAAATGTAATAGATTTGTAGTGTTGTAATTAGTTTAAAAAAATAAAAAAGTTTTTATATTATGTTCCAAAATCTTTGTCAGGAATTTCAAGGCAAAATTCCGCCAGGAACTTATTCATTTGGTCCATTCATTTTCTTTAAGATTAGACATTAGTATAGAGGCTGATCGGATTTTAGGACTTATTGAACTGCTGCTGCGGACATGAACAATTTGAAACTGAGTCGTATCCCCAAAAATTCATTCATGATATGTACAACATAATGTGATACACCCTGTCAACTAAACAGCTGCAAGAGCTATATACTAGTCAAATCGTGGAATCAGTGATTTGTTAATCAGAACTGTATCTCCACTTAATACTTTCAACACTACTATATAACAAATAATTTGAGGATGTCCAATATGTCCATGGCTTGCTAAAGTCAACTGCATCGGGGGTACTATGATGGTCCAGGGGGTGCTGAAACAGAAGACTGGCACTCTTAACCTGTTAAGAAGTTAAGTAGTTGTAGTGAATGATGTTTCTGTTTGGCAATGTATAACTCCATTCACACCACAATCCACAATTGGACAATTGGACAACCCTGATTAATGTGTAGATAGTGTTGAAAGAATTTTAGACTTAAAACTTGAACTTCACTCCCGATAACTTTTGGGGCTGTGCTCCATGAACAGGCTGACATATATATAGCTTATGGATTATATGTAATGTATTCTGATTAAATGATAGGGCTTGCCAGTCCAACCACCTCATATTTTTCATACTCACTCACTCTCTTGTCCCATGTGTCGTAGTCCGTCAGTCTGTTCAATTTTTCAATTTTTCAATCTTTTGAATCATTTTGACTAATCCAGTTTACACTTTCATTGTTTTCCACAACAGAACATTTCAAACTACTTTCTGCTCTTCCTTCTTTTCAGTGAGTGTGCTAGTTGGACGTGAAAGTGCCCCCTGGTCTGCCTGGTACCCCCATTGCTTCTTCACCATGATGGAAACCCCCACTGACACTCAAACAGAAAAGTGTGAGAAACCTCAACCTGCTGCAGACCAGACTTTATCCACTACGGTTCCCGATCAGGATACACCCACCACTTCCTCAGCTTCAGTCATTGATGATATTGACGAAATGCTTAGAGATGTCGATAAAATAATTCATTCAGAAAATCAGGACACAGAAGAAGACAAAAATGTTAGCAGTCTCCTTAGTTTCTTCTCAAATAGATCTGCTCCCCTCGACACCTATCTGTTAACCCATGCACAGAACCTACGCTCCGAGGTAGACTTAATCAAGATTAACATTTGCAGTATCTTAAAACTTGAAGTAAATAAGTTCGCAATCATTACTCCACACATGATCAAGAGCTGCTCATCCCTGAACAAGCTCACCCTAGCAGAAGGTCTCCTATCCCTGCTAGGTCTTGCTGAAAGTGTTTGCGCTGTGGTGAATGGACATAGAGTTGACAATGAAGTCAAGTCCCCCTCCTACTTGTCAGCTCCCTGCAGCATGAGCATGCCAACGGGTCACACTACATCTGATGGTAGCTCTATACACCATTCTCTAGAAGCCATCCAGATGTCCATCAAGAACCTCAAAGACAATGATAGCCATCTCAAAACTCTTGACTCTATCAACAACAAGCTTGCTGAGCTCAAACTTGACATCAACTGTTTTAAAAACAGTAGGTCGTCAAATGTTTCCACCCCTGATCTGCCCATGCCTCCTTTCCATATAAGGTCACCTGCTCCATGTGAAACAGACCAAGAACAGCTTCTCCTAGATGCACAGAAGCATGCAAGTGTAGACGACCCTAAGTCCAAGCACATTCTGTCGTATGTCCCAGAATTTGTAGATGAAAAATTGAACTCTGAGCTCTCAGTTTTCTTAGACCAACAGAAGGAAGCCTTTGATAGTAACTCCGAAAATGGACATGGGGTTGTGAGCTTTGGCGAACCTTATCAGTACCCGGGGGCTAAAGCTGAAAAACCGACATCAACAGAATTTCCTGAGGTTCTTAATAAGCTTGTCTCCAAGATAAAGGAAGAATGTCCTAGTTCAACAATCAACCAGTGCTTGATAAATCGGTACACCGACGGGAACAGCTTTCTTCCTAAGCACTCTGATAACGAGCAATCATTGGTCCATGATAGTTCCATTTTTACAGTATCCTTAGGTGGTGATTGCTCGGTCAAATTCACAAAAAAGGATCAACTTGAAGGAGAAATCGTAGAGACAATAGAGGGATGTAGTCTCTATGTGATGAGCAAACAGTCCCAGTTTCTGTGGGACCACCGAATTGATAAGAGCACAGAAAAGAGGGAATTGAGATACAGTATAACCTTTCGCTACGTAAGCAGGAGCACCAATGCGACATTGATTATTGGTGATTCAAACACCCGGTTCCTCAAATTTGGGGCTGGTAAAGGAACATTTGGTCACAAACTGCCTGGGAAAAGAATTGAATGTTTCACAATAGATCAGTTAGACCCTCTTCTTTGTGTAGGATACAAGAACGTTGTAGTACACTGTGGTGTAAATAATATCAAGAGGGGAGGGGGTGATGTTAAACATTGGGCTAATGAGCTGACAAAGAAGCTCAAGAATATTTGTGATATGTGTCCATACTCTAAAGTTATAGTTTCACCCATCCTTCCAACTAGGTCCTCCTGGCTGAATGACAGAGCCATGGAGTTTAATAGTTTATTATTTGGGTACTGTAATACTAATACTAGAATAGGCACTTTAGATTTTGATAGTTTTGTTGATGAGGAGGGTCTACTGGACAAGCAGTTTTGTAGATACAAGAAGCCGGATGACCCAATCCACCTGGGGTCAAGCGGTATCTTTAAACTCTCCCGGGCAATTGCCCATAAGATCCTAGGTAGCCCTGTTGATGGGAGGTTGTTCAGTGATGTTACCAAGGCCCAAAAAAGATTTTCCCCACGTTCTCGTAGATCCGTAGTTATGTCATGATAGCCAAACTAATATGCGAAATTTGCTGCTGCTGCAATAGACCTGTGCGTGCTGGACATCCATTCATAACTTGTCAGATGTGTGACAAAATAATGCACAAAAAATGCAAAACTGATGATAACATAGTCAAATTTCGAGATGCAACATACTGCAAAATATGCACTGATGCCAATGATATCGTTCGGTATAACCCTTTCTACCAAGCTCCCCACTTTGCAAACAATGGCCTCATTGATGATGAGCCAGTTAATTATATTGAATCTATCTACAATAGCTCAATGATTCTTGAAAATTGCAAAACATTCTCAATAACAGAGTTGAATGCCACCATCCTACCTAAAAATTCAGCTAAATATTTGTCCAAATTATTTCTAAATATTGATGGAAATGCATCAAACTTTGACAACTTTGCAGTTGAATTGTCTTGTATCGACCACAAATTTCTCTGTTATCGGCCTTGCAGAAACAAACACTAATCCCGAAAATGGAACTCTGTATCAGCTTAACGGATACTCCTCTTGTTACCAATCACGCTACTTTTGCCAAGAGAAAAACCAGTTCAAGGGTAAAGGGTCAGGAGTGTGTCTTTACCTACACGATTCCCTTAACTTTAACAAAATCACTGACTTATCTCTCTGTAATGAACACATAGAATCACTGTTTGTATCAATCACTAGCTTGCAAGATCCAACTGTCGTAGGGGTTATATACCGTCCCCCAAACGCATCACTTGAGATGTTCAACAAAGCGTATGAATGTATTCTATCAAAACTGAATGGCAAAAAAGTATATATTCTTGGTGATTTCAATGTTAACATTTTGAACGACCCATCTCCATCAGAGGACAAATTTCAAGAAATAATATTCAACAACGGCTTCATACCAACCATATCATTACCAACTCACCAAATGCCTGGCTGTTCCAGGACCTGTATTGACAATATTCATACCAATGTCGTAGATCAATCCCTTATTTCTGGTGTGATATCTGACAAGATCTCCCACCATCACCCTATATTCACTCTTATTGAACTTT